CCCCGGCTTCCAGCAAGGTCCAGCCGCTGCTGCACACCCCGTGCCAGGTAGCGTTGTAGAGCACCTCCAGCCGCCCCGCGCAGGGCCCGGGGCCGTCCTGCAGCCGCAGCTCCAAGGGGTTCGTGCCTGCAAAGGAGAGGGGCAGGGGGGGAGGGGGCCTCTCCAACCCCATATGGCCATGAGAGCTTCTGATTTGCTCCTGGGCATTTTTTTCCGGTGCGCTGCTGAAGGCAAGCCACCAGCACCCATGACCAGCCACAAAAGCATGGGTCGCCTTGCTCCATCCTCTTGGACAAGATGCCTTAATAAGCAACATCCCCTCGGGGCTGGTATCTGTGAGATGGGGCTCGTGGGAGACCCATGCCCATTTCCTCGGTGACACTGGATTCCTGCGCCTAGGAAACAGGCGCCTGGATTATTTTTTTTTTAAGCAAGTCTCTGCCCATCACAGGATGTTCTCGTTGACGAGCTAGAGGGACATAGTCTACGTTAAATCAATAGGAGTTGGGTGCACAGCTCTAAGGCAGGGTGGCATTTTTGCTCAACTCCAAGCCTGGCTGGGTGAAAGCTGACTTCTGCTCTGGGGATGGGGATGGGGAAGAGTGAGCGGAGAGGAGAGAGCCTGGTACAGCCCTGGGATAGAACAGCCACTCCAGCAGCCATCAAGCCCTCCCTTGGATGGACACCAACCTCTTGGCTCCAGCTGGGGTTACCTGAGCACACCACGCCTGCATCCTCGCTGTGACCGCAGTTGTGCTCTCCCCAGTTCCTCAGCTCACACTCGGTGAGGGCGGACTCGGTCCCTGTGCAGTGAACATCATCCAGCCAGATGGGATCTGACCCTGGTCCAAAATGAGCCGAGCCCGGTGCTGTCAGTGCCATCCCACAGCCCAGCTGCCTGCACACGACCATGGCATCATGGAGGTCCCAGGTGTCATCACACACGGTCCCCCACTTCTGGTTGTGAAGGACCTCGACTCTCCCCAGGCAGCTGTTGGAGCCGTTCACCAGCCGCAGTGGGCGCTGCCCCGAAGTGCCCACACCTGTGAAGGGAGCAAGGGGCACGTTCATGCCTGACCATCATCCCTGGCTCCAGGTGGGCTTTGCAAGGTGCAAAGCCACGGGAAAACTTGAGTGTCCTTCTGCACATGCAGCCTTTGGTTGCCTGGGAAAGGTGCTACACCGTCAGGGTTGTCTTGGGATTTGCTTCTCATGGGGGTGGATAAAGAGAGGTCGCAGCTTCAGCGCCTCGGGTTTGGAGCCTGACAAAGGGTCTTGGGTCAACATTGAGTATGGGAGGATCCTGGGGTCAACAGTCACTATGGGGTGGGAGGGTCTTGAGGTCAACACTGACTACAGGAGGGTTCTGGGGTCAACAGTGACTATGGGAGGATCTTGAGGTCAACACTGACTACAGAAGGGTTCTGGGGTCAACAGTGACTATGGGAGGGTCTTGGGGCCAACGCCAGCGTCTTGGGGTCAACAGTGACTATGGGAGGGTCTTGGGGTCAACACTGACTATGGAAGTGTCTTGGGGTCCACAGTGACTATGAGGGGGGTCCTGGGGTCAGTAGTGACTACAGAGTCCCTGGCTACCTGGGATGCAATCGGGCTGATTCTGCACCCCAACCTGCATGGTACTTATGCTGACTACTCACCTGAGCACACCACACCAGCATCTTCCCGGTGGTCACAGCTGTGGGATCCCCATGGCCTGGTCTGGCATTCGGAGAGGGCAGCTTCTGTCCCTGTGCAGTTGACACTATCCAGCCAGATGCGTCCGGACCCTTGCCCGAAGTGAGCCGAGCCCGGGGCCGAGATGGCCGTCCCACAGCCCAGCTGCCGGCAGACCACCGCGGCCTCAGCCAGGCTCCAGCTGCTGGAGCACACCGTCCCCCACTGAGAGTGATGGAACACCTCCACGCGCCCTGCACAGCGGCCAGGGCCGTTCTCCAAGCGCAGATGAGTTGGTGTGTTGGTGGCCGTGCCTGCTTGTGACATGAGACACAAGGCAAGCATCAGACCGGATCTCCCCAAGGTGCCTCTTCTTGCCACCATGGTGAGACCCACGCCAGAGGATGCTCCCCTGTGTTCTGCAACAAAGAGCTGTGGAGGAACATCTAAACTTTGGGGCTAAACATCTCAGGTGTGGACAAAACCAGCTGTGCAACCTCAGAGCTGGCACACGTTCAACGTGAGCACAAGCAAACCAGAAATGGCTGCAATCCTTCTTATAAGTTCTCCCAGGTCACTGCCCAGGAACCCTTCCAGTGGCTGG